TGAATTCTATAGAGGACGATTTTAGTAAAACCTTTTGCACCAAGTACCCACAGCCAATTTTTCTGTACAAAACTATTTCAATGTCTCCTTATGTAAAGCCTAGTAATTTCCCCCGTTACAAAATTGAGAACAATTTATTACAATTATAGTGCGCATACCCAAAACCAGCACCTTCTCTCAACCGCAGACACCAACAGTGACATGCATACCAAACTTCAGGATTTCAGCTCTATTCCTTCGCCCAAAACCAAATTTAGTACTACTTAGTATTTTTCATACAATTAACTATCTCAATCCCAGATATCAACAGAGACCTCAAAAATAATTTTCAGGACTTCAGCTCGCACATCCGAAACATGTTCCTTTTCTCAACCATAGACATCAACAGTTACATCTATATCAAATTCTGGGATTCCAGCTCTATCCCTTCACCGAATTCCCAATTTAGTACTTTTCATAAAATTATAGTACACATTTTCAAAACCAACTCCATATCTCAACACATATCAACACAGACCTCAATATCAAATTTGAGTATTTCAGCCCTTTGATGTCTCCATTACAAAATTTAGTACCATTTAGTTCAATTATAGTACGGCTATTGAAAGCCAGATCATTCTCTCAGCCTCAGACACCAACAGTGACATCTATATAAGAATTTCAGGATTTAAGCTCAATTCCTTCACCCAATACTTCATTTAGTACCATTTAGTACTTTTCGTACAATTATAACACACATTTCCAAAACGGCTTACATATCTCAACTCAATATACCTACATAGACCTCAATTCCAATTTTCGTTTCACCCAATGCCAAATTTGAATTTAGTACTTTTCGTACCAATTTAGTACACATTTCCAAAACCACCTTCATATCTGCGCCACACACACCAACAGTGACATCAATATGAAATTTCCGAATTTCTGCTCTAATCCTTCACTCAATAGCAATTTTAATACAATTTAGTACATTTCGTACAAATATAGGACGCATTCCCAAACAGGTGTCAAATCACAAAGACAAATACCAATAATGAAATATCTATCATATTTCAGGATTTCATCTCTATTCCTTTAAATGTAGTACTTTTTATACAATTGTAGCACACACATCTTTGCAAAACCACATCCATATCTCAATTTCAGATACCTACAAAGACCTCAATATCAAATTTGAGGATTCCAGCCCCATCCATTCACCCAATACCAAATTTAGTACGATTTAGTACTTTTCGTACGATTTTAGTACACATTTCCAAAACCACTTTTATATCTACATCACAGACACCAACAGCATTTAGAACATTTGGTACAAATGTAGGACGCATTTCTAAACCACTGCAAAGTCTCAAACACAGATTCTCTCAGTTATACAAATTTCAGAATTGTGTCTCTAGCCCTTCTCCTAATTACCAAGTAAAGTACCATGCAGTACTTTTCATACAATTATAGCACACATTTCCATAACCTACATACCTCAACTCCAAATACCTACAGAGACCTCAATATTAAATTTTAGGATTTTGGCTCTATTCCTTCACCCAATAGCAATTTTAGTACCAAACCGCCACCAAATCTGAAACAAAGATACCATCAGCAAACTAAACGTCAAATTTCAGAATTTTATCTGCAACCCTTCTCCCAATGCCAAATATAGTACCATTCTGTACTTTGTGTACAATTTTAGTACACATTTCAGAAACCAAATATAAAACTATTTAGTACTTTTCGTACACTTGGAGTACACATTTTCAAAACCTCATATTTATTGTAAACCTACCACCAACAGGGATCCCAACACAACATTTCAAAACTTAAGCCTGAATTATTCACCCTCAACCAAACTGTTTCAAATTTAGTATCATTTATAGCATGTTTCCATTGGAAACCGAACAACGTTGTTCGCTCTCAGAATTAGGTACACGAATTAACCCGTTCATACGGCACGATTCGTAATTCATAGTAAAATAATTCCTTTTTTCAAAAACTTTGTTTGTTGTTTTTAATGGGAATTTATACTAAAATGCATTAAATTCTCACTAATATGAGTAGAAGAAATGATTGTTTTTCTCCCAAAGATTTATTATATCATTAATTTTATAATTTTCATTCACGTTTTCAACTTTTTGTGTAAATGTTGACATTTTTAACATATTTTTGTATTTTTCTGTTTTTAATTTTGCTGGAGAGACACATGTCAAACATTTTTTCTGCCGATATAAACATTTTGAAAATATTGCCTCTTTTGTTTCCAGTTTTCTGTGGAAATTCCAACTCGTGGACAATATGCGTACCTCGGATGAGAGAGAAAACAAAATTTACTTTCGTTTGAATGTACATACGCCATTCGACATTGTAGTTTTCATTCATAATTTTCAGTCTTCCCAAAAATTTTTAAAATTTCATTAAATTTTTCTATTTTTAATTTTTAAATGTCATAATTTATTTTTTCGATAAATGCTCTCATTTGTTAGGGATGGGACATATTTTTTCGTTGTTCTGAGAGTGATTTGATTTGAACAACGTACAAATATGAGTGTTCGCTCAGGAAATTTTGTGTGAAGAATTAAGTAGTTTTTTCATAGTTAAGGGTCAAACAACGAATAGAGAGCGAATCAAGTGCAGTGGAAACGCCACATAACGTATAAAACGAAAAATATCGTTGGCGTTCATTTTAAAAATTGTGTGGCGAGAAAGGTCTGTGGACATCTGATACAGCGCGCCTTTTTCCCGAGATCTTGGAGTCTCATTACGGTTCAAATTCGATCAGGCATCAATGAAAAATCTCGTGAGCCGGTGTTTCAAAATCAAAATGGAGGGCATAGACGAATGGAGTACCTTTAATCGAGTTGACATGGAGGAAGCAAAGCCATAAAAGGTTAGTAATTTTGTGTAGAAAGTTTACCGGGGGGATTATCCCAATTCAACCTAGAACAATATGGAGGAACTTTATCAAAACTAACTCATGTCCTGTCAAAAGATTTGCAAAGGAACCACCCACATCTAACTTAGAAAATAAGTCTCCTAAAGCTAAAAATGATACAAATTGAGAACTTGTAGAGTGCAGAAGATCTGTCCATCTTTCCCAATCTGTTGTTGTGTTAGGTTAAAGATGTCCAGATGCCTTAAGACAACTGTTCTGTGTTTATTACAAATCATATAAAAAGAGAGAATAGAAAAGAAAATAATTCAGTTTTGAGAAAATATTTACCGTTTAAACAATAATCGTCCTCGAATAGGAAGTTATCTTATTGTCTATAGTTCTATGTTGGAGAATAAAGACAGATCATGAATAATTTGCTCCCCCATAAGTCTCACACCGAACAGAAATGGACAGTGACAGAGTAAATGTTCGACGGTTTCAGTTTCTTCTTCATTTTGGCAGAGGCTGCAGTAATAGGAGTAGTTGTTACTACACTTATGATCTGTGATGATTCCCACAACAAGTTTTAAGCCAGGATGATGAGCAACCTTGTTTTCTCTCCGGACAGTGTAAGCCAAAATTTCTTTTGGAAATAACATCCCTTTTCATCGAGCCATTTTTCCTGAAATTTCCCGGAGTAATGCTCGTGTAGAACTGGGAAAAATACCACAGAGGGGGCTTAACCAAGTTGTCGACCTAAATATCGATTGAATCAGATCCATGTCTTGCCAATTAATCTACTGTTTCATTACCAGAAATGTAGCAATTGGGAAGCCAACCTAGCTTCTTAGCGATCTAACTGCTCCAATCTATGATCGATCTTTTCCAGCCATGTTCAAGAGCATCTCGTCCGGAGTTATATATTAGACCAACCGAAAGAGCTATTGAAAACTATAAAATGTGATGGCCCCTCCTCATAAAAACGAAAGGTCGTGATGTTGGAAAGCAAGATATTTACTGCATAAAGGTACAAGGTGAGATGAAAAAACTGCAACCAACTTCAGACTGCTGTCATTTCTAAGCCACTAGTCCGACAGCTGTTAAAATTATTCCAGTGACAGCTCATTATATTGTTTACAAGCGTACAAAAGAATTTAGATGAGAATTATACAGAAAAAAAGTTATTCGTTATGGAATTCAAGCGTAATAGTGTGATTTCTTTATATTTGGCTGGAAAACCACAAGTGACTATCGTTAGAGCACTTCAGCATTTAAATGTTAATAAATCTTTTGTGCGAAGCCCGAGGTGAAGGAAGTGGACGGAAGAAAACAACATCTCCAGAAATGGTTCGAAAAGTAAAGAAGCAACTTGATCGAAACCCGCGTCGCAGTGGTCGAAAAATGGCTCGTGAGCTGTACATATCGCAATATTCCATTCGACAAATATTGAAAAATGAACTCGAGGTAAAGCCATTGAAATTCCAAAAAGTGCAAGAATTTACATCGCAACTGAAAGAAAATAGACTCAAAAGAGCTAAAGAGTTGCTTCGCTTGGCCGAAAGTGGTGAACTGCAGAATTTGGTTTTCTCCGCTCCGATGAGAAAACATTCCTTGTCCAGCAGTTTGTTGGCCGCCATAAAAAATATCAAAGTGTCGATCACCTCAAGCAACCGCTTCGCCGGAAATGGGGTTCGGACAGCGTGTGACGGTTTCATTGGTCGTTTGAAGGCCATAAAATTTGATGATATTTCCCACCTTTTTTGCTTTCATTTAATAAAATTTAAAAAAATTAAAAATTGTGGCGTTTGAATTTGTTGGAGTTTTTTTATCTCACCCTGTATTATCAGAATGGATACATACTCCCGTCTTTTGTGGATCCACACGAAAAAGCTCTGTCTTCCGAAAAGGAAACCATTGCTAGACGGATACTGATTGAAGAATTCCACGACTGCATATCCCGACTTATGAACTTCGAGAAAATTGATGTCCGCATTTCCAACAAAAGCCTCTGAATTTGCATATCCACCTCTAGAGGGTTAGGCAATTTAAAACTAAAGGACGGGTGCCAGGATGTTTTTTAAAGACTGATTCCAATTTACGGTTTTCACAGTCGAGACATAAAATAAAACAATCCGTGTAATATGTCTTGCTTTTTATTATTGTAGATCTTGATGTATTAAAAATAGAATACTATTTTATGTACATATGTTTATACAGATATGGGATTGCTTTTGTATTTTAATGTTAACAAAAAACGATTGCACAAATGTTATTAAATGAAATAACTTAAATCTACAATATAATGTTATGTCTTTCCAATAAAAGTACCAGACATAGCAATTGGAAAGCCCCATAAGTTTCGATATTAAATACTAAAAAATATTTTTTTTCACAAGAGACTTTAAAAAACAAGTCCATAAACTTAACAAAAATCGGCAAAACGGGACTCATTTTAATTGATTTAATTAAAAAAAAAATCATACACAATTAGCTTCACTGAAAAAAGAAGTGCTTATCTTTTCAGCTACTGATTTTAAATTTGTTGCAAAAACTAAAAAAAATACATATTTTTTCGGAGTTGCAAAATAACAATACAGCATTAAAAATACTATCATTTTTATGTTGTTATTTTAACTTATTACTAATACAGATAACATGATTGAAGCCACACGGCTTTACATAAGACTTAAAATTAATTAAGCACACAAAAAAAATAATAAAAGCTTAACTAAGTAAGGAATTAAGATAAACTTTAAACAGTAATGAACGATATTCAAAAATAAGATCATCTTGGTTTGGAAGTTGATTTATTTCGCGGGATCGGTTGTCGCTGTTTTCTATGTTTGTGTAATCACAATTTTTTGCATAGCTTTTTAAGGGGGTAAGTATAGAATATTTAAATGCAGTTTGAGCTGTTTATTGGAAAAGTAGTGGGAGTTTTGATGTTGTTGCATATGATAATCAATGTTTTAGGGAATGATTATGCAGATTGGGATAGGTTTGACTGGTTTCCATGATATTTGCCTTAGCTTGGCAACTTGGCTGCTGTATATCAAATTCTACTGGCATTGAGAGAGTCGATAAGGGTAATGACATCACAGCCATTGGTGATGGCACTAGATTTTCACATTTCAGCATTAGTTTTATTCCGGATATATCTTGTCAGTCGGTTTTCAATGGCAACAATTTTGAACCGGCCAATTTCATTTCCATTGATGTCTTGCCCGATAGCGTGCCATTACGTTCCATGAGATTCCAAAGGGAGCCCATAAATACACAAAACAAAATGACACCGAATACCAAAAGTTTGAGCAATAAATACAGAGTTTTATAGCCATGTGGTACGGGGAATTCGGCCATTAGAATCAAAGCGGTTAATAGTATAAAAGATATTGTAAAATACACAGCCCTATCGGTTTTCAGTTGATTCAAATGTCCTTCACAGAGATCGATTGATTCTTGAATAACAGCCACCTTAATGGAAGTTTTATCCGTTGCCGCGGCACAATCTTCTTCGACATGGCCATTGGAATGAGATTTGCCATTCGGTATTGGTGTATTGGGTGGCGTCAATTGTACATCATGCATACTATCACTGCCATCTATGGCTGCACTAACATGCCGCACAGAACATGAATCTTCATCGTCTCCCTTAGGTCTTAAAAGTAAACGCACCTGCACAGCCTCATGGTCAGAATAACTGTATTTTTGTCCAGGCACACGATGAGGTAAGGGTAATTTATATTCTAATATCTCGGTCTTAATGGAATCGGCACTTCGTACAAATATATGATCGATACGAAAGCCATTGAGATTTTTGCCCAACACCTTTTTCGGTGTATACGAGTTGTGTTTGCATTCATTCGTTGTCACCGAATCCGAGTTGCAGGTGTCTGTCATTTCCGATGTATGCAGGAGAACTCTGAAAAGTCAGAAATCATAAATATGAAAACATTTATGGGTTCAAAGGTACATAGTCTTACTTGTAAGAAATATCTTTTGGTTTTGTATTCAAATCACCAGCTAATATTTGAACATCCGAATCCCAGCGTGTTGCTTCAATGAATTGAGCTGTATCGAAGGCTTGTATGACTCGATGTGTCTTATAGTCGTCGTTATCCATATCGTATTCGGCATGTAACTGTGAAAAAGAAAAGGGAATTTTTTTTGAATGGTGGCAATAAAACAAAATGTCAGAACTATGAGAACTTCTGTTCACGTATATCCTTAAACAATGGTTCTTATGCCCTCCACCATAGTATGGAGCGTATATTAAGTTTTCCATTCCGTTTGTAACACCTCGAAATATACATTTTAGACCCCACAAAGTATATATTCTTGATTAGCATAAAATTCTATGTCGATTTAGGGGTGTTCTTCCGTCTGTGGAAATCACTCGAACTTCAGAACGAAATGAAATAGGCCATGTAAGTCCACGTTTTGGTAAGGCCCCATATAAGGGCACCTCCCGATATTCGGTATTTTGGTGATTTAAGCCACATTATTTAACGGAAGTGTTCCAAATTTGGTATTTAAAGTTCATAATAGATACTACAGCCGCCTATGACAGAAAATTGTCCGTGCAGGTCCACGCATTCGTATAGCCCCCATATAAAGGCACCTCCCAATATTCGATATTTTGATGATTTTATCGACATCATTTACAGGAATTGTTTCAAATTTGGTATTTGAAGTTTGTAATGGATACTTCAGCCTATGACAGAAGATTGTCTTTGAAAGTCCACGTCTTCGTATAGGCCCCACATAACGGTACATCCCGATATTCGATATTTTGATGATTTTAGCGACACTGTTCAACGGAATTGTTTCAAAATTGGTGTTTGAAGTTCGTAATGAAAACTACAGTCTGTGCAGATCCACGTCTTCGTATAGGCCCCACATAACGGTACATCCCGGTATTCGATATTTGGATGATTTTAGTGACACTATTCAACGGAATTGTTTCAAATTTGGTGTTTGAAGTTCGTAATGAAAACTACAGCCTAAGACAGAAAATTGTCTGTGCAGGTCCACGTATATATCCACACGTATAGCCCCAGTATAAATGTACCTCCTTATATTCGGTATTTTGGTGATATTAGCGACATTTTCAGCGATTTTTTTATTCAAGTTGCCTATGCAGGTTCACGTCGTTGTATTGACCCCAATATAACGGCCATATTCGGTGTTTTTTAAGATATTAACAGGATTTTTAACGGATTTTATTGTTTCGAAAATTGCCAAATTCGTTCCAAATGGAGTAGGCAATAGGAGATAAAAACAGAGCCAGATTAGAAAAGAATCAGAGCAGTATGAGCGTCTACACAAACAACCATGCGAATAGAGGTGGGATAAGTCTAGCTACCTGACATTTTCGACCTATCTCCCCTTTTTGGCTTTACTTGAAAAAATGTACGTCAACTTGACTGGGAACCGAGGTATAAAGAATCAGCCTTCCAGAACCTAAATCTGGGAATCGATTTAGCTTTCTTTCTTAAGTTAATAGTCATTTTTCCTATAATAGAGGTTCGACTGTATTTGCCTAATCTCCTATGACGATATAGCTTGCGCATGTTAGACAACTACACATAATGTCTATGTTTTATATATTCAACAGGTCATTGACCAAATGATTATTTTAAATAGCGTTGCTGTTGTTGTGGGAGAAAATAAATGATCATTATTCCAATATGCCAAAATATGAAACATTGTAGAGGGAAAATCTTAGAAAAAGTTAATCAATTAAACATTTCTTTACATTTGCTGGCCCAGTGCCAAAAATGCTTTGTTAGTCGTGGCACGAGGAAAATTTAATTAAACAAATAAAATGCTACCGGGCCACTAAAAAAATAATTAATTAAATTTGTAGAATATTGGTCATCATTGATAAACTAATCTTGGGAATTGTAGATTTGTTGTCCTGATGGACTTGGTTACAAAGAAACTAATTAAATTTATATTAAAATCCAAAGAAAGGAAATATTGTTGCTTAAACATATTAAACATATACATGAATTCAAAACTTGCAAGATGAATAGTCCATGATCTGAATTCAATTACAAACATATATTCAACTTCTCATCCAACCCTCCCTACACGAAACATTTTTATAACATATGTGCATTATTTTATTTTATTTTATTTTTTCTATTTTTAATAATCATTCCTTAACTCTGCTGTGAAAATTGTCCTACAATGAAATTTATCCTATAGAACAATCAGAGACACCGACTAAAGGTTAGCAGCCAACCAACAGCTAAAAATATGTTTACATTTTTAATTCTTATCAATTATTGAAGTGGTGTGTCTGGAAGTGTGTACAAGAACAACAAAATATCTTTAAGCACACAGCTGTATAATAGTGATAGGCTTTTGCATATTTTATGCGTGTTCGTTTGCAGCTTAAAATGAAAACTACCAACAACAACCATATTGTGTTAAAGTAAATGAAATATTGTATATGATAAACACACACACTTTTGCTGTGGTGTGGTTTCTGATTTTTTTTAGCAAGTCTATGCCCATATTGTTGTGGTGCGAAATTATGGTACAGTTTAAGCGAATTTTGTAGATTTAATGGAAAACGTGTCGGAACTTATAAATTTTGAAGTAGGTCAAGACTACGATTAGACCAATATTATCAAACTTTTAATTTAATTGCCTTATATTGAATTTTATAGTTAGAACTTCAGAAGTCAATCTCGGCAAAATTTGAAAAGTGTTAACCACTTACTGAATTCTAATTAAGAACTTGATTAATTTCAAAAGGACTCTTGAATTTATATGTATTAGATGCACCCATCAACTTTTGAGGGTTAGGAATGCAATCTGTCCATCCACTTTTGTCAAATATTTGGGACATATTTAGGGAGTTTTTTGAATAAAAAATGTTCATAAAGGGAAAATTGGTTGTAGTAGTAAAAACGTTTAAATTCTTGCAGTAATATGAAGTTAAGCCAATGGGGGAATACTCCAGACTTAAGCAATCATCTAATTGAGCCTTCAACAGTAACAAAGCAAAGTTTTCAGCAAATTTCAAAATTCTGCCATCTTTCAAAAATTCCTACATTCTAAAAAATTTAATTTCCCAAAAAAACTGTCGTAAAAATACTTACGTGGGCATTATAGAGATGGACATAGCGATCGCCCACACGTATTCTGCACATGCCAACACCTTTGCCGCCAAACCAATCGGCATGCTGGATGCGATGACAATAACCATTTACGGTCCATGAATGGAAAAGTGTACTAACTATGGGAAATTTGGACAAGACCAATAGACCAGCACCAATAACGCCACTAAAATTTAAAAAAGAAACAATTATTACTGAGCTAAATTTTAGCACTCTATATACAAATTACCTATAAAAATAATGGGCATATGGTAATATTGCCTTTGTCAGTTCCTGTAACACCATGCTATCCTTTTCCGTCCATACCTCCTGCAGTGATACAATATCATATTTACCCGAGCTCAACTCCTTGCCAATGTGTTGCATACGTTCGGCTCGATCTGAGGAGACAAACGGTATACCCCTAAAAAAGTCGAAACAGGAACATATCAAATCAAAATTAATTTAATTGACCTTGAATTGTTAACAGTTCAAGCAAGTGTTTCGTTTGTTTGTTTTTATTTCAACATTTACTATTTTACTATGCAAACACACAGCTTTTGTTATTTTTTTATTTGCAAACATTGTTGTTTGTTGTTGTTGATTAATATTCTTCTCACTTACCATACGTTTAAGGTCAATACACTCAATTCGAGGGACACCATATTGTCCAGTTTTTTGCTTGAGGACTTGGGTCTTTGTTACAAAAATTCCTTTTATTGATGGGAGAAGATAATTAAATTATTTAACTTCTTTTTTTTTGGTAATACAAAGTCCTTGTTTATTTATCTCATCACAATTGCACATACACACGCTTTTCTACTTTTATCTATAAAAAATAATGCTTGATTGTTGAAAATTTGAACAAAGACAACCGTAGGCAAAATAACAATGCAAAACACTACACAACACCCCAACAAGCTAGATATTTAGATATTCAGTTGTTTTGTTTTTGTATCGCCTATTTTGATAGTGATTGATTGTTGTTGCCACCTGAACAGTGGTTGTTATCGATAAATGTGTTTTTGGAAATAGCCATTCACTGTGTTGCCACTTATTCAAAAAGCAATTTTGTGCGAAGGCGAATGATTTTATTTTGACGGCGTCCTGATTATTTTGTTCAGTTTTTTACCGTCAATTTCTTAACGATATTTCGAATTTCAGCTAGTTTAGTTAATATGATAATAATTATTATCATATTATATCCAGGAACAAATAAAGAATAAAGTTTTAATTTTTTAAGTAAACATTTATGAACAAAAGTATAAGTACGAAAGTGTCGGGAAATAGCATGGTTTTTTCATGCAATCATATGTTTAAGACTATTTTTTCAAAATTATTCATTTGACAATATATCATTGTTAAAATGTATATTTATAAATCTATTTTGCATACACAAATCAGAGATGGGAATCTGCTTTCCATGCAGTAATATTTGACAAGCTTAATTGCAGAAAATGCAAAGATGGAAATGCTTACTTGGAATGACTTCACCTTCATTTTACCATGGGGAAAAAATATATAAATATAAAAACAAATTACATTTTTATTTCTACCATGTATATATTCTAGCAGAGCATAGCCTTGGATAAAATAACCTTTTATGTTTAAACGCGTTGTAAGATTTTTTTTGGCCAGTAACAGACTCAAGTATTATCAACTATGGGCGCCCTCTGCTCACCGTTATTTGATACCATCCATAGTCACGACATATACCATAGGAAATGCATTAATTTATTCAGAATTCAATAGATGGCGTTGTCAAATGTACATTTGGAAATTGGGGAGAATATATGAAAATGTCTATACGAGTCATTTGATATACAGAGTGCGATAAGAAAACTGCAACAAAGTCAAAGGCCATAATTTTTACATATTTTTTTTTAAATTTTATTGAATGAAAGCAAATGTCGGAAATTTTAGAATAAGTTTAGATTTGTTCGAATTGGTCACCTGTTGGCACGAATTATGGCCTTCAAACGGCCAATAAAACCGTCACACGCTGCCCGAATGTTGCTCTGCGGTATTTTGGCCCATTCCCGCCGAAGCGATTGCTTGAGATGATCGACACTTTGGTATGTTTTAGTGGCAACCTAGCTTTCAAAAATACTCCAGACACAATAGTCCAAAGATTGGTATCTGAAGATTTTGGTGGCGGTTGTGCGCTGGTAATGATTCTTGGGTGGCGCGTGCTGAGTGCGATGGTGTAGAGTCCTGTTGGAATGTCCAAGTCTGCGGCAAACGCCTTTAATACACCCTCCAGAATTTTTTCGCGATAATATTCGGCATTTATCCTGATGTCACGGTCGATTGATACTAGCGGAGAGCGACCATCAGCTGTTATGGCGGCTCACACCATCACCATGGCCGGCGCGGTGCGTTGATTTCTGGTGGCCAACCGAAGGTGCTCATATTCAGTTGATCTCTTTGGCATGTAAAAACAATCATTTTGTTTGTTTACAATCTGCTGGACAACGAATGTTTTCTCATCGGAGCAGAGAAAACCAAATTCGACAGTTCACCACTTTCGGCCAAGCGACGCAACTCTTTAGCTCTTTTGAATCTATTTTCTATTTGTTGCGGTTTAAGTTCTTGCTCTTTTTGGAATTTCACTGGCTTTACCCCGAGCTCATTTTTCAATATTTTCCGAAACACAATGGTATGTTCAGCTCATGAGCCATTTTTCGGCCACTGTGACTCGGGTTCCGATCAAGTCGCTTCTTTACTTTTCGAATCATTTCTGCTGATGTTGCTGTTTTCTTCCGTCCACGCTTTCTTGACGTCGGGCTACGCTACCAGTATCACGGTAACGAGTGATGGTACGAGACACAAGCGATTTATTCACATTTAAATGCTAGAGTGCTTTAACGATAGCCGCTTGTGGTTTTCCAGCCAAAAATAAAGAAATCACACTACCACGCTTGAATTCCATAACGAATAACTTTTTTTCTGGAAAATTCTCACCAAAATGCTCACAAGCGTACGTAAACAATATGAGCTGTCACTGGAATAATTTTAGCAGCTTTCGGACGAGTGGCTTAGAAATGACAGCAGTCTGAAGTTGGTTGTAGTATTTTCATCTCAACCTGAAGATCCGAAAATTGTAAACGTGTCAAGGATTTTTATCTCTCATTAAAACTGCATCTCTTGATTATTATTTGTTATATTTCATTTATTTATTTATTAATATTATCATTAAACTTTAGTTGTTATTTACATTGTTTTTTTTCTTTTTAAATAACTACTTTACATACATACAAACATTTGTATATAATTCGCTTAGCTGTGTTTATAGATTATGGGTAAAATAATACAATAAAAACGATATACCTAATTAAACAATTAATTAATAAATCTTATTAAACACAAAAAAAAAACTATAGAATATTAAAATGGTGGTTAAAATAGGACAATTAGTATAAATTACAATAATTGGTATTACAGATATTGGAATTTGTTGTTTTCTGTATCCTTTGTTATATGTGGTAAATGACTATTGGAATGGTAGGTCGGCAAAGGACGTTTGGCGTTTAGTATTTAAACTCCGACATGACCTTTACACTGACCTACCAAACATGCAGAGTAATTCGAGGCGGAGAAAAAAAACGTTGTTTGTCAAACGACATCGGGATCGATAGGTTATGTATGGCATTTGCTTTGTAAAAAAAAAACGATTAAATAAATTAATCATTTCTTTTTTTACTTCATTATTTATATTTTGTCATTAAAATTAGTTAAATCTATTATAACAATTAAACATTTACACATTTATATGCATATAAAAATTATTAAATATTTTCATTATATGATATAGAGTTATATTTCATTCTCTGCTAACCATACGAACTTGCAAGTCACTTGCTGCAGCAGGTACGTTTGTTAGAATACAATTAATTATATTTTTTTGTTTGGACTTTAAGTACGTGAACGTATGTGTGTGTTGTATTCGGTTGGCGGTTACTTGGTATTTCTCAGGTCAGGCTGAGGTAATCGTTTTTTATCTTAATAACGATTACTTTCTCTATCGGAATATTTGCCACTCATTTTACCAACCGAATAACGATCCGAATAGGCATCGTATTTATCTGCCTTATAATTGATTTCTTGCGGTGTATAGCCGATATTCTTTTGCCAATGTCGGGTCCAATAGAGATCTTCATTTCGAACTTGTGATGGCGTTTTGGCATCTCGACACACATACACACAGTAGACCATACAACCGATGAGCGTTAAGAAACCGAAAATTAGGAAAATGATACCAAGGATCCTGGAAAAAAAGAAAACAAAAGAAAAAAAGTTAGTACTATTAAACCTACGACTGGTGAGAAGATCCCTGGGGTCTTTTTCACTTTCAAACTTAAATAAATTCTTGATGGCCCGTGGGAAGTATACCCGCCCCAACAAATATTCTAAGGAAATGTTTTTTGGAATAGTTGGTCGGTCCTACCAATAGTTTAGTTTCATTTGAGATTTAAATGTGTTTAGTGCGGAAACGTGTGAAAAAAGTCCGCTGGGACCTTGTACAAATATTTTATTATTTAAACACATCACAGACCAGTTCCTTGAGTATAAGATCCTTTTGGCAACTTTCCTTTCCTTCCGATTTTTTGTTACCGCCTCTTTTCAATCGTTAGAAGTTATCCTTTTTACGCCTACTCTTACCTCCTTCTTCTCTCACAAAAACGCAAAGTTGAAGCTAGAATTTGAGAGTAACGGGCAAATTGAATCCTGCGAAGCAACTATTCGAACAAGGGGCGGCACAAGCATGGTTTTTATTGCAATGTGCCACAGGCCGAACCTGTTGCAGCTTTGCAACCGCAGAGGGGGTTGTTGGGTGCGGTTTGAACTCTAAACGGCTGGGGAGGAAGTGTAACCGTACACTCTTTCCACAACAGCTGCCCAAATCTTGATCTGTGTTCAACACTGGAGCCAACGAGACCTATAGACTGGATACAGAAATACAGGATGGACTGCTTGAGCACATTCTTCCCGTGTATCGAAACGTAACCATTGTAGGGGTAGGTTCATGTGTAGTTAGACTGAGCTTCGAATTCAGATTGTCCATCGAAAACATCGTGCCAACACAGGATGTCAGAGGTCGCTTCCTTGGAGATTTTTCCCCAACATATTTAATTTTATCGGCGAGCAGAAAAGGCTATGGGGAATCTTAAGACGCACAGCAGATTCTGATCGCAATCCAATCTTCAAGGTCGACATAAGGATCCTAAGCATAATAATCAAGCAATTGGCTATTATTCACGAAAAAGATCGCTTCAAGGGCTACTTGGAAAACATTGAGGTGAACTTCGAGACATATGGGAAGATTAACAGAGCTGCTGTCGTAGCATACCGCCAGCTAAAGAAAGTAATCGTAAACAATGATGAAGTGTTAACTTCGGATGGCACACAAAAACTTGAGATCCTAGGCAGACCATATACAGCAAAGACATCAGTCCAAGGAAGTAATAGACAATTTTTTACGCAACCTGATCAACACATCAGTGGAAGGTAATGGAAATTAAAAACAAACCACAATATACAGCAAAGAACTTCATCCCTACGATCAAAGTTGGTGACCAACTAATTGAAGGGCTATTTGGATAACATTAAGATGAGCTCGAAAACATAATGGAAGGTCAAGAGATCCGCTGGAGAGACATTCCTGCAGCCTATGAAAGGAATTATAAACAATGATTGAGTGGTTAACTCGGGTAACACACAAAAAGTTAAGATCCTGGCAGAATATATACAGGATAGTCGTCAGGCTGAGGAAATAATAGACAATTCCTTGCGAAACCTGGTCTTTTCAGCAGCGGAAGTATTACAAATCACGTGTCCTCTGTTGCATTCGGATACGAAGTCAGAGTAGAAATGAATTTGTTGATCCAGACATGGTCGGATCAACTATAGCAAGAAGGTCACTGAGGAATGCTTGTGGCATCGATAAGGCCCCTTATATTGTTGTAAAGAAAGCTGGTGAAGCCATCGTCGTTTTCCTCACAATATTACTCAACCATTGCCTCAATATCGGCTATTTCCCAATAGCTTGGAAGGAGGTACTAGTGATTCCAATTCCTAAGCTCGGCTCAGATGCAACCCTTAGGGGGAGCTTTAGGTTACAAGACCAAAATGGGAACAATTGCAATTGGTCTGGACTTCACCATAGTCTTTGAACCGTATCAAACGACAACATTGCATTTTATACCAAATGCAATAGTTTGGATTCGATGGACAACCTGTCGCATGGCAGCAAGCTTTCTCTAGGATAAAGACTTAGAGTTGATGACTACCTGTCTGAGCAACGACTGGTCAAAGTGAGAGCTCCTCAGGGATCACTGTGAGTTCCTCAGGAACATGTTTGTTAGAGACATTCCCGGATCACTTGATGGAAGATAACTGATAATGTACGCCGATGACATTTTATTGGTACTACGAGATCGCTTCAGAAGCACAGTGAAAATAAGATTGAATGTTCCACAACTACTTAAACAAATGAGGACTTTACCTCGACGTTGGAAACTGCGTATCTGTGGTTTACAAAGGCTAATTACAGCATACAGAAAAGTGCTTCCGAAGATACATCCCTACGATCAAGGTTGCTAACCAACTAATTGCAACTTTCGATACAATGAAATACCTAGGAATGGTCCAGCACAAGAGATTCTTTGAAGAGATTTTTATCTACAAACAAGATATGTAGCCCATAGTAAACTATTTCTTTGCCATAGCAAACCATAGTAAACCAATAATTGATGACAATGAGATTTTATATATGAACTTCAGATCTGCGCCTAAAAGTATGATTTTTCCATTTATATAGCACATGCTCTGCTCCAAAATCTGCAAGAATCTTCTAGTTTTGCAATTTTATTTCGATATCATAAAGGAAATGTAAGCGATCGTAGTAACATTTTTATATTTTTGAAAGTTCTGGAACAGAGCAAGGCAAACCACAGTCTAGAGCAAAGAGCTTCCGGAGATACATCTCTACGATCCCTACGTTGATTACCAACTAATTGGAACTTTCGATAGAATAAATACCTGGGAATCATTCTGCACGACGGACTTGACTCCAGTCGTCACATGGACTATGTGCTGTCTAAAGTTATAAGTTACGCCTACCAGATGCAACTTCGGATGCGAGGAGGACTGTCGACGGATGTAAAACTGCTTATCTACAATCTAGTTATCCGGTCAATAATATCCTATTCCCTTGTCCCTTGGGCTGAAATATGTCTGCGAATAAAACGGAAATAATAATGATATGGAAAAGTAGGATCTTGCCATCGTGTTTAGGAATAAGACCAACAATTGGTGAGAACGGAATTTGATATATGAAGATGAGATCTTCGCCTAAAATTTTGCTTTTTTATTTATATAACATATGGTCTATTCTGGAACCTGCAAGAATCTACTAGTTTTGCAATTTTCGATATTAGAAGGAAAAATCGGTTATCGTAGTAAATTTGTTAAATTTTTGGTTCTGGAAAAGAGCCATTTATTATAAAAAGTTCTATTCTTTTCCATACCCAACTTTGATGGATTTACTGTTGATTTCGATATCTTTCTAACTCTTTGAAAGACTTCCATGGTTGTACGGCTATAAGCCATAAAAGAAAACTCTTCCAATACCTCTAGACGGCTTCTTTATGGTCGTTCCTTTTGCCTTATATCTAAGTAAAAATCATGATTTTCTTTCCTACTTACCACACATACAACGGTTCATAGAATTGCACCACAATCACAAAGCCTAGCGTTACCAAGATCAGACCCAAATTCAACAGCAACATCAGACAGCAGACACCCTTAACATTGGGACAGAAGGGATTTGGGGCTGACATTGTTTCGATTTTGGCTCCACGTTTTGTTGTGCTTCGGGCACTGCGACCCGTTTTGGCAGTACTGGCTACGGAGTAAACACTGCGCGGTGCTCTCGATGGTGGGCGATGACTGTAGCGACTGTCGAGAGAAGAATAAATAAAATTACAATAAATCTCTTCCCTGTCATTACACCTCACCTTATTTCGGATGGTGCCTTGTAAGCCGCACTGGTCACATAAATATCACTGCCAGTATCTCCACCATTATGATCATAGCTCAGAGCTGAGGGGGCTCGTGGTGGCAGCCGGGTTGGTGGTGGGCCACTGAGAGAGCGTGGACCACCACTATCGACTACCGACGTCGAATAGTGGCCATTCGAATGACCATTATTGATGCGGGTTTTACGCGATGAATGATAATGCCCTTGCGGCGAGGTACGTTCATGGGCTATTGTATACTCGGACATCGTGCGCTCCGAGGGTGCCCGATGTGATTCCTCGCCATCGGTGGAATAGCCACGATTTGAGTGAACATAGGGTGGGTCGGGGGTTGAACGACCATGTGTGGCAACATAATGACCACCCTTGATTCTGTTTGGCGAATGAGAATCATTAAAAATTAAATGTTATGTAAAAATATTTAAGTCGGAAATCTTACTTTTTTACTCGTCTCTCATGCATTGTTCTGGAATTAATTTGTATTTATTTATGGAAGGCGTTGAATTATTGAATTTGAGTTTGAAACTTTAATCAGCAAGGAACTTCAAAACTGTTGAAATTTTCCGGTTAGAAAATGTTTTTGATTTCTCACTTTTGTAACAAAGTCTAGGCGTGCATTATTTTGGAAAATCTGGAATTAGAAGATAAGTGAAGATGAGGTTAGAAATTTTTTATGCAGAGTTTCTATTGTATTTACAATGATTGGATAAATTTAAACATATCTACAATTTAAAGCGGACCCACTAGAATTAATTAAATTATTATTTGTTCACAATTGGTCGGCCAGGCATTGTCTACCCTCATTTTAGGAGATTTCCCCCAGTTGTAAAGTTAGGATCGGAGCATGTTCCCATCTCAGAGAAGAGAAGATATTTAGGGGTAGTATTTCACGAGTATTCGTCATATAGACCATACCCTTTCAATGGCCAAAAGTGTATATTTCGGATACAGTGGAATCTTGAGGATGAGTGGTGGCCTTTCCCAAGGTGTTAGGCGCTTGATTTACCGGCATGTGATCAGACCTATCGTCGCCTATGCCTTTCCCATCTGGATTGACATTTCATCTCACCAGATGGAAAGGCTAAGGTTGTGGGGAAGGAAACAAAATTTCCTCCGGTGCATCCCTGTGGTAGATGGCTCCTATAGAGCCCATTACTGTAGGGCGATTTATGAGAGGGCGCCAATACAGGGTGAGATAAAACAACTGCAACAAAGTCAAACGCCATAATTTTTACATTTTTTTGAATGAAAGCAAAAAATGTCGGAAAAATCATCAAATATAGAATACGTTTAGATTCATTCGAATTATGGCCTTAAAACGGCCAATGAAACCATCACACGCTGCCCGAATGTTGCTCTGGGGTATTTTTGCCCATTCCCGGCGAACCGCTTGCTTGAGGTGATCGAAACTTTGGTATTTTTTAGTGCCAACCTTCCAAAACACTTTAGACACAATAGTCAAACGGATTGGTATCCGGAGATTTTGGGTGCGCTGGAAATGAAGGGAGGAACCTCATTTTGTAACCATTCTTGGGTGGCGCGTTCTCAGTGCGATGGTGCTGAGACCTGTTGGAATGTCCAAGATCTGTGGCTAAAATGTTTTCGTGCCCAAGGCTTTAATACGCCCTCAAGAATATTTTCGCGATAATATTCAGCATTTATTCTGATGCCACGATCGATTAATACGAGGGGAGAGCGACCATCGGCTGCTATGGCGGCCCACATCATAACCATGGTCGGCGCTTGAGTTCTGATGGCCAACCGGAGGTTCACATTTTCATCTGACCTATTTGGCAAGTAAACTCGATCATTCTCTTTGTTTACAAACTGCTGGACAATGTTTTCTCATCGGAGAAAACCAAATTCGGCAGTTCACCACTTTCGGTCAAGCGAAGCAACTCCTTAGCTCTTTTGAGTTTATTTTCTTTCTGTTGCGGTGTAAGTTCTTGCTCTTTTGGGAATTCCAATAGCTTTATCCCAAGCTCATTTTTCAATATTTTGCCGAATGGAATATTGCGATATGTTCAGCTCACGAGCCATTTTTCGGCCTCTGCGCCGCGGGTTTCGATCAAGTCGCTTCTTCACTTTTCGAACTATTTCTGCGGATGTGGCTGTTTTCTTCCGTCCACTTCCTTGACGTTGGGCTACGCTACCAGTATCACGGTAACGAGCGATGGTACGAGACACAAAAGATTTATTCACATTTAAATGCTGGAGCGCTCAAACGATAGCCACGTGTGGTTTTCCAGCCAAATATAAGGAAATCACACTATCACGCTTGAATTCCATCACAAATAACTTTTTTTCTGGAAAATTCTCACCAAAATGCTTTTGTACGCTTGTAAATAATATAATGAGCTGTCACTGGAATAATTTTAACAGCTGTCGTACGAATGGGTTAGAAATGACAGCTGTCTGGAGTTGGTTGCAGTTTTTTCATCTCACCCTGTATATGCATAGTGGTGAGGTTGTGATTTTTGACTCTTCCTTACTGGTCTTCTCTAATGTATTCTCTTTTGCGGACTCATGTGCTGGCACACGGTATTGAGCAGCCATGATTTATAAACAATATAATCAGAGAGTAAAAATACTCTAATTGTAATCTTGTCCCTAGGGTTTAACCCTTTTTTCATGTTAGGATTTTTAACAATTTTAATTGTTTCTTCTCACCTTTCATCATTGCGAATCCTTGACACATACCTAGAGTGTATTTTACTTCCCTGACATCCGGCCATTCAATAAATCAATACTTTTCCCTGATACAATGTATTTATTTTAGTTTTTTTCCTTTTCTCTTCAAATTCTCTGCGTGGTCCTTTCGTGTTTTGCGGACAACACTCTCAAAGGTCATATTTATTCAACTCATATCCGTATTTCAGGCAAAGAAACCCGCAAAATAAATAACAATAAGGAGGGCGGCGGGGTAAAAATAAAATACAGGAAATTTCATAGGCAATCAAACGTCTCTCCAGCTAATGGCGGAAATGTTCGAAAGGTGAAAATGTGACAATAAAGATGTCGCAACACACATACATATAAAAATAAAGTATTTGACAACGGTGTTGTATGGGATTGTGACAAAGCGGCAAAATGTCACTTCTTAAATAGATGAGTTTGACCAATCTCTGTATCTCATCATTGTGGCATACATACATAGACTTCCGGAAGGACTTTTTGATTTACACATGGTTCTATGTCCTTTTGCAGATTATTTGCGCATTTTTAAAGAGTTTAGTTTTAAAATTAAATTAATACTATATATCTATTCATATCTATCGTTCTAAGAGAAGTGGAATACATCCTCCTAACAATCTCATTCCATATATCTGGGAGTTTGAAAGTTGCTAATGATTGTGGACATAGGTGGCTCATCGCAACTGAACTTCTGCCGTTTTCACTGATTGAATTACAGCGTGTCACAAAATTCGATTTATTTTTAAATAATTACAGAAAAAATTTAAATAAGACCTAAAAACAGAGGATACTTGCGTCGGCTTCTTCAAATTTTACATCTCAAAATAACATAAAATAAGGGGAAGGGTTTTCCCTCTTCACTTTTTTCTTGAAATTTTCGGATTAAGTTTCCTTGGAATCCTTATATTTTTGGTGCATAGTGTCTTTAGCAATATTACAGCTATCAACAATTTTAACCCTCAAACGAGTCACCAAGGGGGTCTTTTTAAACCTTCTTTCAAAATTTGGTTAAAAATAATAAAGCAGTAAGAAAAAAAGTCTAAAGTCGGACGGGGCCGACTATATGATACCCTTCACCACTATGCATATTTAGTAGAGCTCCCGTAAAAAAAAGATTTTATTTGAAGTAGATCATACCACCTATCAATATTTGGCTATAGAGCAGTTATAATTTGGTTTCAGAACGAACTAATGAATGGGAGGCATATCGAATTCTGGATCGATTTTCACTAAATTTGACGGAGACCTTTTTATATTTTATACCAATTAACATTGCTATAGAGTGCATGATTCGCACCTCGAGAAGGATTGTATTAAACAAATATTTATCGGAGTCGAGTTCCACCAAATGGAAACATACGTCCCGCAAATTCACTCTATTTGGGCTGATATTAGCCATTATATGCACAATAAGCCTGAAATCGCATTAAGGAAATATATGGGAGCTATATCTAAATCTTGGCCGACCTCGATAAAATTTGGCAAAAGTATTTCCGAGCTATATAAGATATCTGACACCAAATATCATTGTTGTCGAATGCACATTACGAATGTGGTGTCTAAAGGCCAAATAGGATGAAACATATACAGGGTGAGAGGAAAAAACTGCAGCCAACTCCAGACTGCTGTCATTTGTAAGCCACTCGTCCGACAGCTGTTAAAATTATTCCAGTGATAGCTCATTATATTGTTTACAAGCGTAAAGCAAAAGCATTTGGTGAGAGTTTTCCAAAACAAAAAAATTATTCGTGATGGAATTTCAGCGCGATAGTGTGATTTCTTTATATTTGGCTGGAAAACCTCAAGTGGCTATCGTTAGAGCACTCCAACATTTAAATGTGAATTAATCTTTTGTGTCTCGTACCATCGCTGGTTACCGTGATACTGGTAGCGTAGCCCGATGTAAAGGAAGTGGACAAAAGAAACCGGGAATATCAGCAGAAATGGTTCGAAAAGTAAAGAAGCGACTTGATCGAAACCCGCCTCGCAGTGGCCGAAAAATGGCTCGTGAGCTGAACATATCGCAATATTCCATTCGGCAAAAATTAAAAAATAAGCTCGGGGTAAAGCTATTGAAATTCCAAAAAGTGCAAGAACTTACACCGCAACAGAAAGAAAATAGACTCAAAACAGCTGAAGAGTTGCTTCGTTTGGCCGAAGGTGGTGAACTGCCGAATTTGGTTTTTCCGTTCCCGATGAGAAAACATTCATTGTCCAGCGGTGAGGTGTTGAAGAAAAGTCTGTTTATAATGTAGCTAAAATCATGAAAATAGCGAATATCAGGGGGTACCGTTATATGGGGGCTATACGAAGACGTGCACCTACATGGCCCATTTTCTGTTTTATGCTGCAATATCTATTACGAACTTCAAATACCAAATTTGGAACGATTCCGTTAAATAATGTCGCTAAAATCATCAAAATACCGAATATCGAGGGTATTTTCTGGCATGGGCTGAAGTATCCATTTCGAACTTCGCATGCGAAATTTGAAACAATCCCGGTAAATAATGTCGCTAAAATCATCAAAATACCGAATATCGAGGGGTACGGTATATGGGGGCTATACGAAGACGTGGATCTGCACAGATAATTTTCTGTCTTAGGCTGTAGTATCCATTACAAACTTAAAATGCCTAATTTGAAAGAATTCCGGTGAATAATGTCGCTAAAATCATCAAAATACCGAATATCGGGAGGTACCGTAGTATGGGGGCTATATGATAACTTGGACCTACATGGCCCATTTACGAACTTAACCTGCCATGAGTATTACGAGGAGTTACAAACGGAATGACAAAATTAATATACCCTCCATAGTATGGTGGAGGGTACAACAAAGTGTATATATTCTTGATCAGCGTAAAATTCTAAGACGATTTAGCCCTGTCCGTCCGTCCGTCTGTTGTAATCACGCTACAGTCAAAACGAATAAAGATAGGAAGCTAAAATTTTGCA